GGAATTTTGTATGTGACGCTGCTAGTGCACTCGCGGAACTTAGTGACATGTCGATTTTTGCAGGACTCTGGCAGCACAACCGATTCCTTCGTTTTCGACCGTACCGGTCAACTGGAGTCCCATGCTACCAAGAACTGAGCGCCACGCAGGCTCATGCCTTGTCCGCAGTGAACAACTATGGCATTCATTGCCAACAAGAATGGTCAGCATGCCCATTAGTGACAGACCTGAAATACTAGAACTCTGTCGAGAGGCTGGAAGGCACCTACCACCACGCGCATAACCCTGTCCCATCTCTCACGGTGCATCACTGCCCCGCCTTCATTATACCTCAGTGTACATTAATCATTAACATAATTACCCCTTCTAGACGGGCCTCACAGGAATTACTGCATTACTTTCTGTGGCGCCTGCGCTCACGAGCACAAATAAATACCGACACCATGATGCAAAACCAACTTAGCCCACTAGCCTTATTAATTTAGAAATGGTCCCTATTTCCTTTCCTCACATTTTACAAATGACGTAAATTCAAGGTGGAAATTATTTTCTTTCTTTCAATAAAGACGTTTCAGTCAATCGTTTAAAAAAATAACACAAGAAAAATCGGAGCTACCGAGGAAGAGGCCTTTCTCCAAAGTAAAACAGTCTCTCGTTCCGCAGCAGAGATCGCAGCTTATTTTCCCCCGCGAAAAGCAGGACGCTTCATTAACCTCCCCCCCTACCTCCTCCCCTCCCTCCCTCCCTCTTTCCCCCCCCCCCCCCCCCCCCCCCCCCGCAAACTACTCTAATGACAAATTCAAACACCTGTGCATTTAAGTAAAAAGGAACGAAGAAACAATGAGCCATCCGCGGCCAAGGGAGGCGGCACTGCGCTCGAGCGGTCCCGCTAGCAGACGCCGCAACGGCGATTCCGGTCACGTGTCGCCCCAACTTCCGCCAGACACTGCAAACCGAAACCAGTCGCGCGGTGCCCTCTCCCAAAACTCCTGAAGGGACTACGCGATAACCTGTTATTGAGAAAGACCCGCGGCAGAACCCCCATCGCAGCTACCGCGCGGCGACGAGTTCAGCCAGGACTTCGTTGTTGTGATCGGCGGACAGGCGCGGCCGACGAATTTTACAGGGTGAGTCGTTTCTCACGCTCATTTGCGATCGCGACTCGACCTGCAGCAGTCGCCTCGACACCACGGACACCTGCTGACCACTTCGTATGCACGTAGAGAAATACCGCGCGCGTCAGCAACGCGAAGCAAATTTCGCCGCTTTGAGAAACAGGTTCTAGATGCATCCGCGACGAACGAGGTGGGGTGGGGCCGCGGACGCGATCGAAAACCGCTTTGCTTCCCGTCAAAAATAGTGATGAGAGCTTGAGAATTTCCGAGAACATTTTAGTCCCGTCGCAAGCGAGGGCCATATAAGGTTTCGAACGGTGGTCGCGGTTCACGTTTCGTCGGTGGAGTCGTCGGGAGCGTAGCGGGAAAGAGCGTCTTCCCTACAGGTGGTTTGTCGAACCGGCCCCGCAGTTTAGGCGAGCACCTGCGGTGGCTGATCCCTTGCGCTGGCCTGGAACGGGCATGGACCAGTCGTGATCACGGCGACCGTCGCGTGTTCCAAGTGGGGCGATCGAACGGGCGCCTCCTTGACACGCCGATTCGTGATCGACAATAGCGAGTAGTACATGTAGTGCTAAAAAAAACGCACCCCCCCCCCCCCCAAAAAAAAAAAAAAAAAAAAAAACATTCTTCTGGAGGCCGCCATTTTTTTCCATTGCCCGAATGGTGCGCGCGAACACGACATGCTCATTGTTCCTAGTAAAAGGGTTTAGGCTGAAACAATAAAACAACGAACCCCAACACGGGTCTGTGAATTCCTTTCCGACACGCACTCGAGTTGCAACGTGCAAAGCCAGCTTTCTTTTTACACCTGACAGTCACGTGCTTGGGGAGCTGTTTACCGTTCACTTACTGGAAAGGCCCTTTTTTTAACACGCATGACTAGAAATGTCACCGTTTGGACCGCGATGAAAATGGAACAGGCGCTAGTTGTTCTTGACAAACAAGGGACACTACACGTGTTCACAAAACCACGTGTTTTTTTTTTTCTTTCTTTTTCGACCTATGTTAGGTATTGCATTGAATGAGGCTGATCGCGAACATGTACAGAACACATACGTCGAGATATAAACCTTCAAAAGTCACACATCAAAAACAAAATATAGGGAAAAATGAATTACAGGATTTGGTGAAGCCTGGCCTTTAATCCGTGCTGACAAGTCCCTGTGACTTTGACAGGACCCGATATATGATGTAAAAAAAAAAAAAGAGCAACATTAGCCAATAAAAACATTATTAAAAGGAAAGTGACAGTAAACTGCAACAAACAAGCAGAGGATAGAAAGAACTACACCTACTTTGACTGGAACTGCAAATGGTAATAATTGAATGTTTAATGTCCTACATGGTTCATCAATTTCTTCTGGGGACATTAGGGAACTTCTTGAAATTGAAAGACGTACTGTCGCAAAAGCACATATTTTCGTGCTTTCTTTCAAATGCTGTACCCTCCCATTTTGTTCCATTGCATGTTTTCAATTAATATGGCAGTAGCTTGCATACAACAGAATGACAAAAAGCCTATGCACTGAGAAACTAAGAAAGAACGAGAAGAGAGCGCGCAGGGACGTTAGTACGCCGAGCTCTGGTTCGAATGATTCGTGGGTAGGCCTAAAGCTAGCTGCCTTTCTCCATTGCACTCGTCGAATGCGAGTGCCAAATGCTGGACTATAGCGTTCCGCAATCAAAACCGTTCGACGAGTGCAGTGGAGGCAAAGGCAGCAAGCTTTAGGACTACCCACTAATCATTCCAACCAGAGCTCGGCGTTCTGACATCGCTGCCCGCTCTCGTCTCCTCCTCTCCCTCAGTTTTCTCGGCGTACAGAAAGTTTGTTGTGGTTTTACATTTGCTGCATCACTGAGAAAAATTTCCTACTCAAAATTTTAGTTAATTTACACAAATTTAATTTGAAGGTTGCCTACTATTCATTGAGATACTCCTATTAACGTTCCCTGCTACTAATACAAAATAAATATCCTATGGAAGCATTGTAGTGACAACCTGCTATTACCAAACATTGTCAGTTATTAAAAGTAGTACCCTGTTGTTGTTTTTGTTTTGTTTTTATGTATAATTTTCTGTGGTCATCAAGTTGCAAAGTAAGCTTTTTCTTGCTTCATTGCTGTTCTTGTGCACCTGACAATTACATAAGGGGGAAAAGAAATTGTGAAATTTAACAATTATTTTCATTTCCTAACTTGCACTGCTTTTCCTGCTGCAGCTGCCCATTTTTCCTTTGGCCGCTTTTCTAGCCACTTGCTGATGGAAGGTAGTAAAAGAACGCCCGAAACACAAGCTAAAAAACATGACACAGCCACTGACGCAGATGCTGCACATTCCTCGGTGAGGTATTACCAACGATTTAATTTTCATGCTGTGGCGCATGGCTACCCACTCTCTTTTGCTCCGAACCTTCTCTGTCTCATACTTTCTTTTTTGACTGTTTATGCCTTTAAATTACTTGCAAAGAGCAGCAACTGGACATAGCATAATGCAATGTACTTACGAGGCATTCAGTGAAATTAATTTGAAGGTGTCTTCGACTTTCCAAACTGTTATTTTCCATGAAGACATACTCAGGTTGCAGCCTTATGTCTGCGAACTTTTGGTGTTGGCAATCACATGGATGAAGAATCAGAAATAAATATTGTTATTTATTCTCCAATTTCTAGTGAAGCATATGTCTTAATATTTCTCCTGAAGGAAAGTCAGTTTGAGCTGCTTAGGCATATATTTTGAATGAACTGTGAGTGAGTACACAAAAATGAGTCAGTTTATATAATACTGAAGATAGTATCACATTAAAGCCTGGAGGTTTCTGCTCAGTACATGCATATAGTAGTTAAAAAAGGAAATGGAAATATTTTCTGTGAAACAGTCACAACTGACCAGAACTTTATGATAGGCATACTGAAAAAGCTACATCCAGTTGTTGCTCCTTGCAAGTATTCTTGAAGTGTAAACTTTCCTCTAAAGGCCTGTGCACTTATTCTGATCAAACACACACGAAAAAAAAGTGTGGCTACAAATTAAAAGTAAAAAAAGCCAGAAGCTAGTGCACATGAAAACTGTCCTGCTAAGCCTTTCCTTGGTTTCAAGGGTGAAAATGGACTAAAAGGTGAGTCCTCTAAAACTTCAGTAAACTGTCACACACTCACAATCCCCTTCAAGGTGAAAAAAAAAAAAAATAAAAAGGAGAAACCACACGATTTTTACAAATTTATATTTTTTAATTGATCTAGTAGTGTGCTATTTATTGAACTTATCATCTATCATCTTTGCAAAGTCCGCATTCTTAGTAATCAAGGAGCTGGTCATGTCCCCCTTCTTTAGAAAAACAATTATCATGTACGCAGGCCACTGTGCAGTCCGAGATACAGCTCAGGATTCCAGCAAAATGCAGGCAGAACAATTATCAGAAATTAATTTCCCAGTTTCATCACCAGCTTTAGTTATCTCTCATGCAGTACTCCATCCATGCCATACTGTCTGCACATACATTATTAGTCCATATAGAGCAGGAATTTGACAAATCCTGTGGAAAGTAAAGTTTGAGCATACATATAGCAGGGTGTCTAGCGACCTGGAAAACCGGGACTTGTCAGGGAAATTTTAATTACTGGGAAGAATCAGGGAATTGTCAGGGACATTGTCAAAAAGCAACCCGTCAGAGAAAATGAGCTGGAAATGCCATCGAGTGCCCTGAGCAAAGACTTGAGGACTTGGGGCAGAAAAGTAGTAAATAAATTCTGCTTAGAGAGAAGCACGGACTCTACTCACCCTATGTAGAGTGTGCTACCCGATGCAAAGGGACTACCGACAAATCCAGTCCAAGCATTGGATTGGGTTGAGGGCACGGCACTAGGCTAGATCCAGCTAGGGCTAGTAGATTTAGCAACAAATGGGAATGCCGCAAACCCCAATCCAAGCCTTAAGCCGAAAGTATCCGGAAGTGTGCATCTGGCGGCCATGCTGCCATTCAGTTATTGACGTGTGTGGTTGAGCGTCGTGTTTTCATCGTGTTTCCGGAAGTGGCCTCTCCACTGACAATGTTGGCGGCAAGAAAGTGCTCGTTTAGTCCGGACCGGATGAACCCAAATATTTCGAAATATGCAAGTTGGGTTAAAACCGTGCAAGATGATCCTCAGAGTGCTCGATGCTCAATGCTTTGTGTTGTAATGGTCTTATATATTAAACTGCCTCTACAGCGGTCAGGAAATGTCTCCTGAAATTGTCAGAAAAAACCTGGAAGAGTCAAAATCATAATTTGCTAGACACCCTGATATAGTCATCGGTCATCATCTTGGGCGGATGATTTGCACTCATGAAACCGTTTGGCTTAAATTTTTCTTAGTGGTACTCAATTCTTTCCATTTGGCTACCACAAAATTCACTATGCTTGCTTTTGAGTGTTCCTGCCAAACTCTTCCTCGCAATGAGATGTCTTTTCCCGTGAGTTTAATTGATTCAGTAGAGATCGACTGCCCCCATGAGTCATAAGAAATAAGATTAATTGACTTAAACAGCGCAAATAAGGTAAGGAAGGGAGAGACAACAGGAAGGAAAGACCGCAGCTCGCCCAGCAACTCATTTTGGTACAAATCAGATTAAGCCTACTGACTGACTCTGAGATTTCTTTGAGGCCTTAGGTCAAGAGTCAGATTAAAACAAAAGAAAAAATTGCTTTCTTCCAGGTCTCGGGAGGACCGCAAGAGGGCGAGAGCCAATGTAGCAGCGGTTCTAACCAGTCTTTGTCATCGTCGACCAAGGAGAACGGATCCATGGAGAAAGCCAACCAGGTACTGCTTCCATCATCCACCCAAAGCCTTGGGCAGGTCAATTGAGAGAATAAAAGCAGCCTCCAAAAGCTCGTGGCTTACGGTTGCGTCAACTGCGGGTGCTATCTCGCGGGTGTACAGCTCTGATTGTCACAACAGAACGAGTGTGAGACTAAAAGCTGGTCAACACACTTGGGACTGCTTAGGACAGTGTGCCTTGAAACCTATCCTGATATCCGACGACGACAGACCACACTGGCGCCACCTATCGGATAGCAGTGGAACACTTGGCAATCCGGTATTTTTCCTATTTCTTTTGCACATCATTAATTCTATTTCTTGACTCAAAAAACTTTTGTCAGTGTTATAAACAACCATTTCTCGTAGGTAGTGCATACATTTGATCTTGCAAATACTGCAAAACCTTAACTTTAGTGAAATGCAGTTCCAGGGTCACCGCATAGATGGCGCTAGCGTGCTCTCTCGCCGTACAAGATTTTAAGAGGTTTTAAGGCACACGGTCCTAAGGTGTTGCGAGTGTGAACGGGCCTTAAAGTGGGTGTGTTGAGAAAAAAACGATAGTACCGTATATTATAATGCAATTAAATGCAAAGGTGGAAGCGAGCTGGACAAGAATGACGAAATTAATCCCTGAAGAAGGGGAACAAGGGGGACAAAGGACAAACATAAAACTCCGTATTTTCCGGACTATAAGTTGCACCCTTGTGGAAGTCACACATCCGTATATTGAGCTGTTTTCGTGGAAAAGTTGGTATATAAGTCGCACCTCTTTGCACGGCTCACACGATGAGCTTTTTAGTTTACGCGCATCGGTATCGCAAAATTGGAGCTTCACACAATCTGCTAGATCGCACATACCGTCTGATGCGCAACTTCAACGTTTCGACCCACGAGAAATGCCCATAGCATGGCGCTGTCTGGCGGGGGCAATCGAGTGCTTCGCAGTAAAAGGACGTAAAACGCGCAAAATGAGAAATTAGTCGGCTTTGTTCGAGCGACCGCATGCCAAGCAAGCGCAAGTTTATTGAGCTAGACACTTGCGAACCAAGTTTTAGATTACTAGGCCTAGTCTAGGCCAAGTCCTGGAGACGACGCGAGCATAGATGTGCAAGCAGAAAGATAAACCTTGACATACTTTTTTTTCGGTACCTCTAAAAGATCGGCTAGGCACAATCCTTCCTTTTACATGTAGCAACACGGCTGGAGCATAGCAGAAAAAAACTGCTCATCAAACGGAAACTAAGAAATATGCGAGAAAGTATTTTGCAATGCGTGTATACCCGCCGGTATACTGGACTGAACTGGACTGAAGCAAAAGAATACGGAGCCATGGCTGAATTAGGCAAAGTCGATAACATGCTGTAGAAGCTTTATTTTCACTGTCTTGCCTATCCACGTTGAGCCACTTCGGGGAAACCATAAAATTTCTCGCTTTCTGAGTCGGTTATGAAAAGTGTAGAAGAGTGTGGTGACAGCAGTGTTCCCTGGAGGGGGAACACCACCTATGGCTACATAGTTTCAGTGCTCTACAAAAGATGCCATCTAACACATAAAAAAAAAATGGCATCGCACCGTGATTTAAAAAAAAAGAATGCATAGAAGTCGCATCATGGTATAAAACGCACCAAGAAAAATGTCTGAAAAAAACAAACAAAAAAAAAAACCGCTACTTAAACATCGGAAATTACGGTACAAGGAAAAGGCACAAACAATGTCTCCAACACGATTGAGGGGTTTGTTCAGGCAAGCATTGGTTTTAAACCTTTAGCCAAGTTGTCGCTTATTTCCTTCCTGATGCGATGTAACCATTGCATTCTCAGGTCCATTTAAAATGACAAGCACATATCAATTCATCTGTACTTTGAGTGTTACCAAACTGTGCATTGTTGAAGAGAACACGAAATGGAGGCTGGCAGTTGGGAACCGAGTGAACCTACTTTCGCACTGGGAAATTAATACCAGTTTTGCAATTTACAAACATCAGGGCCGTACCCAGAAAAAAATTTCGGGGGGGGGTTTTCGGGGACAACGGCGGCCATTTTGAAAGTGTCTATTGTCTTATTTTCGCCTATGAATTATGTGCATCGGTGGCATATAATGGAGAGTTACAGCAAACCGGAGAACCGGTCCCGGTTTGGTACCCGGTAGCCGACCGGCGCCACTGCGCGTGCGCAGAGGTGGAGATTAAAATCGGCTGGCTGCCACTGCACCGACCAGGGCCGTACCCACAAAAAAAATTTCGGGGGGGGGGGGGGGGTCAGAACCCCCTAACCCCCCCCCCCCCCCTGATTACGGCCCTGACAAACATGAAATATTTGTAATTTTGTAGCACCTTTAAAGGGGACACTGACAAGGTATATGCTTGTTGGGATCTCACCATTGTAGGCCATTCACTAATAAGAGTGATAGAATACACAAGAAATAGCTTTCATGACCACTGAAACACAAAAATATGTGCTTATTTAAAGAAACTTAGAGCACATAGCTATAGGGGTCACCAGTAGTATAGTAAGGGGGGAGGGGCAGGGGGCCCTGGGACCTGAGTACAAGGCATCCCAGTTACGGGGGGGAACGGAGGGGCACCTCTGGCAGCATCTGGCTTCCCCCCCACCCCAACCTCTCCTCCCGCTTTACTAGTTGCGATTTCAGGGAGTGAATGGGGGGGGGGGGGGGGGGGGGGCTATGAAAGACCTAAGGGTACTGGGTGCCGGATGGCCTAGCTATTCCATGGGGGTCACTCCCTGCTATTCCCATATATTCAGGTGTCATGTGCACACGCTGGCCCTCTGGTTTTGTTCCGACTTCGTATGTTTTCCTCAGCAAATGTGTCACTCTCTGACAAAAAGCTTTATGGGTGGCATGTTAACAATGCAATCTAAAACCTCACAAAGCTAAAAAGAACTTTTTTTTCTTTTTTTTTTTTTTGGGGGGGGGGGGGGGGGGGGGTTAGGGTTGGTTGGTGTTGTGTCTCTTTAATGTTCCCCCCACATGACACTAACTCACCTCCCAAACCCCCGGCAGGTGTACCGCTACCCCAAGGCCTCAGGCTTGCTGCTGGGGGCCGGCGTGGTGGCCTACTGCTCCACGGTGCTGCTCCTGATCAGCTTTGCAAGCCCCTACTGGCTCGAGTCCTACCAGGAGGCCAACGCCGAGTTTGTGCGACTCGGCCTGTGGGACGTGTGCTTCCGCAACTACCGGCACCCCTCGTACCAGTACGACGAGACCTTCAATGGCTGCCACTGGGTCCACTCCTACGCCTACCAGAACATCAGGGACTGGCTCCTGCCTGGTGGGCATGCCTCCCCCCTCTCCTACCCTGCCTTTCTCTCTTTTCCCCCTTCTTCTCTTAACTTGCAGCTTTCTTTCTCACCCTCCCTGCCTCTTCCACCCTTCTTACTTTTTGGTTTTAAGTTCCGGGGTGGCTCGACGCTAACTTCGTTTTACCTTGTGATGTGCTGCCAGGGATGCTACGGGTGACCAGAGCCAATCCATAGCTCGAAGCGTGTCGCGTGACCTTCCAGTTGGGCGGAGCAACGCACGTTGCGGGAGGCCACGAAGCACGCATGAGGCGTCGAATCGGCTAAAATGGCTCGTAGCATCCTTTGTGGTCCATAGTAAGAGACAGTATGGTGGGGCTCTTGTTGAGATATAGATTGATTCAGGGAATGAATATGTCGACATGTATTAGCACAATTCCTGTCGCAAAAAGGCTTGGTTCATCTATAGCCCATTTAGTAGCCTTGCCAAACTGCAAGCTCTGAGTTTAGGTTCTGCCACTGAAAGGCCTTATAGAGGGCTCATGTTTACACTCGCAGCTTTCAGAGAAGGACAAATTAAAAATAAACATGAATGAGTCATGCTTACCCATGGCACCGAGGACATTTAAGGGGTACAAATTAAGGTCTCAAAAATGTCAAATTTGAAGTCATTCAGAACAAGTGAAAAATATCAATTACTGTAAACGACATTGGTAATTTTCGCAAGTTTTGCTAATTGCCTACAATTTGCATAAAATAGGTCCCATGAAAAATTCCGGTAAAATGTAAATTCATTGGAATCTATATTGACATCCCACCGCGTCTCGAAAATTAGAACCCGCGAATTATTCCAAAACTTCAGCTTTGACCTATAAATCGCGAAATATTGAGCCCGCGAAAAATAAGTCGTTTAGAGTATGTCACCAGGTGGGTTATAGGGGTATATCACTACTGCAGACAACAATGTCACTACGAGGGCAGGGAACCTTATCACACTCTTGCAATCGGTTCATGTCCGAGCCGGCTGTTTGAGTTTGTGAGGGTTGTCCTTTCTTTTCTGCAAGACAGGTGAAAAACATTTGCAAAAGGCTCATATTCTGGCTCGAGACCACACCGCCATCCGGTGACTAAACTCAAACCAATTCTGATAGCCGAGTTACTACAAAATAGTGCTTCAGAGTACTAGTATGTATGCCAGTGGTTGTGTTGCATCGCATTTTGACATGTCTTCCTGTTCTTCTACTTGCAGGCTGGTTCATGTTTGTGCAATCCATGATGACCTTAGCGCTCATGTTTGCTTTCACCGCACTGGTGCTGGTCAGCATTCTTCTTATGCGATTTCTGCTACGCTTCGAGATCATCGTTCTTATGGTCGCCTTTATCTTGGAAGCCATCACGTGTGAGTACAAACAGCTGCTGCTGCAGTCAATGGCCTCTCACCCTTTCATCTTTGTCAGCTGCCAAGGGTGCCAGAGTTTCTTCTATGAAGCGGGAAAAACTTTTATCATGAAGCAAACAAAATAGCGGCACATGCCCGCCAGTGCAACACTAGTTGACAAGCCCATCCAATAATTCAACTTCCCAATTTCTTCCAGCTGGTTTTCTGCAATCCATAAAAGCAGATTTTTGCTAGGCTACTGGGTCTATCGTGATGATAGTAGCCTAACTGCCTACATGGCAATGCGGAGCACAAGTTCGTCTGCTTCTTGCACAGGGGTGGTGATAATGCCAGAACTCCGAGCTCCTATTCGCTCATTAAAAAGAATAGTGGGTAGACCTCAAAGCATCTAGCATTGAGGTCTACCCACTCTCCTTTCAATCAATGCCAATCGAAATTCGGCATCGTTCTGACATCACCGCAACTCCGGTGCAAGATGCAGATGACTTGCACTCCACATCAATTTTACAGATATTCTTATGGGAAGAAGTATAATGCTCTATGAATATTGTTAGATTAGTAAAAGTATGCTGATGCATGTCTTTAGTGTGAGCCTATAAGGGGCTGCGGGTTTGTAACACGGACTTCCCTCTACGTTGCTTTGTTTTCGAAGTGTTGCACATGCAATGTACAGATCCTGCGGTGTAAATAACCATGTTCACTCTTGCCTTGGCCCTTAAAGGGGCAGTGCAATGATTTTAATGTTGAAAGAATTGGCAGTTTGCATTTTTTATATTGTTTATGCAAACCCAAGTGACCAAAAACATGTCACCTTTCCCCAATAAACTGCTATTCTGCTGCGTAATCGCAAAGCAAAAAACGAATTATTTGCTGATCTGCAGCCGCCTGTGGCGGTTTAGGGAACCAAAATGACGGCGTCTTTGGGGGATACGCGGAAGTCAACAAACCCTGTCCCCCTCCGCTGCTACACTCGCGGTCAGCCCCGTGGCGAACCGTCCTTTGTGTCCAGCGCTCGCCGCGACCTTCGACGAGGCTAATCTTTTAAAAGTCAACAATTGCAGACGAAGCGGCTGGGGTCTCTTAAGAGAGGACCCAAGAAGAAACCGCGTGAACCCCCAGAGTATGTCACTCGAACGTCGACATGGAGAGTTGAGAGGCACTGTGACCTTCGATTTGTTTCATTTTTTTTTTAAATAAGAACTAGCGCTCGCAAGAAAATATGGTTTTCTGCTTTTCGTTCTATAGGTGACGCAGATAAATTTCCGCAGCTAATTGGCCAAAGTCTGAAATTTGTTGCTCAGCCCCTTTAAAATGGCTTGCAGTATTCTAAAATAAAATAAAACCATTCTTCCCTAGGGGGAGTGAGGGCAGAAATGCCACACAGCTCAAAAACCAATTGCCGCATGCATAACGGAGTTTGTAGCGTGCGTAGCAGAGTTTGTTTGTGGACTGCCACATGGATGTATGAGGTCCAAAACCTGGCCGGCCCAGCTTCCTTTTTACCAGGGCCCGCTTGCTCGAAGTTGGCTAACTTTTACCGTGGCAAGACGTTAACCGCCCTTCCCTACTAGGTATGTGTAAGTAGCTAGCCAAGTTTGATCGCACGTGCATAGGTAGCTCCCTCCGTGTTTTATTATAGGGGTGGTCGCTCGTGTCATCTAGTGGTTGTAGCGAATATACCATGTAAACAAGTGTAAGGGCCGCACTTTGTTTTCAAATTTCGGGGCTAATGTTTTAGTTGTGGCCCATACATGGATGAAAACAAAATAGCTTTAAGTGTGCATCAAGAAATTTAATGCGATCACAAGCAGTGGTCGCAAGTGCCTTTATTTTAGTCTCAATCGTGTATCCTCAGCGCTCGAGCCACCAGCAACAACAGTGGTCAGAGTTGCTCTTTTGAACTGCCCAGTGCCCAGTAAGCACCTTTTCGAAGTTTGCATTAGCAGTTTATTTTGTAGAACTTTACCTCAACGTCCATTTCGATGCCGATGTCGAGCAACTGCAGCGTGTACCAGTTAGCCCACGCTGAAACGTATGCTTTGTCCAGCTTCGTACGCAGATCTCGTTGAACCCGTATTTGCGAGCCGTTGCACGTCTGCCACACTTCAAGGCATAAATGACAGTTTGAAAATGCTTGCCCACTACTTACGGGTCGTGGGGCCCGCATAACCCAACTTAGCAGAATGGGACATTCCCAAAGCGTAACGGCAACGTTCGGAAACCCGAGTGTGCGATTTTCCAGCAGCTACTATCACATGGGCGGAAGGCGATTGTGGATGATACGAAAACCATAAAGATGATAGATTTCCAAAGCTCTTATCCCGTAATGTTTCTTATCTGCACTTCAAAACACTGCAAAAGTGCAAGTAGAGGTGCCTACATGGCGGGCTAAAGAAGGCGGAGTGGAGATGCGGAGTGCGCACAACACTGCAGAAGCGGTCGGCACACCTTGAAAAAAAGGATGTGTCTATACACGAATAATATATATATATATATCTTTTTTTTTAATATTTGGTTCTAAATATGGGAGGGTGCAGCACTTCCATTAGTGCGGCGCATGCACGCTATTATACAGTTAGCGACTTTCGTAAAAAATTTTCTGCAAAAGGACCCGAATACGCACGCTGCCAGGTTTTCGCGATGCAGTGCACAGTGATGTGATTGGCTTAAGCCATTTTGGAGCACCTTTCGGATCAGCCAAAACAGTGTTTTGGAGCAGCAAAAGTGGCTTTTGGAGCAGCCAGGACAATGTTTCGGAGCAGCAAAAGTGGTTTTTGGAGCAGATATTCTTAGAAAAATAAAAACGTTAGTTTTAAGTGTACAAACGAAGGGCACTTCGTGTTCTGTTGTGTTCTGATGTGACTTGTTGTGACAGAACTCGCTGCTTGTGGTTTTGCTGCTGAGACATTCCACAAGTGTACAATGCTGTAGGCATTGCGAAGCGATTCCGAAAAAAACGCTTGCGACCGTTTTACTGGTTCCCGACGTGCCAGATTTTCTCCAAAAGTAAGCAAACGTGAAACAATCGATTGCAAGCATCCTGACTGGTGCCTCTGTCGTGCAATCATGTTCGCATGCACACGAGGGCAACTTCGGCAGGCTTGCAGTTGCGCGTGCTTCGTCGCGAGAGCAGAGACAGTGGCTGTTCGATCGAAACCATGCCACTGCGCTCCATGGCCAACTGATCCCCAAAATTGTATGCAAAAGGTAACTGTCGAGCACATGACAAAAAAAAAAAACAGTTCAGCGGAGCGTGCTTGCCAGGCCAGCACACAAGGTATTACAAGCTTAAACACACACAAATAAAAGTACCTGAGTGCATTGATGCAAGACATCGCGAGCCAGGGTCAAAAAGTTCTTGGAGCACTTTGTGCAACTGAACTCGAGACAAACAAGGGTGCTGTGCGGGTTCAGCGTGCATACATTGCCTTCTTTGTTTTAGCTCGCTTCTTGACTAGCTTTTTTTCACGGCAGATTTTTCACGTACCGGGGTCCCTCTCGAACACAAGAGAAACCTAGTCAATCAATACTTCGACACAGCAGTCTTTGAGTTAAAGAAGGGTTTTTATAGTAACGTATGATTTAAACAAGAACAGGAATGTTGATGAACTTGCGGAGGTACCGAGTTTCATTATACAAAGCGCCATACCTACAGCGACGTGGGGACGGCAACATCCGATGTCGCGCGACAACGGTGACTGGAAGGCCGGTACCAAATATAGTTTTCCACGGCCGTTGCTTTCAGGAGCAAGCGCTTCGGCTCACAAAGTAACTCCCGCCGCGCAAAAAAGTGGTTTTGTTTCACAACGTGAGGGCATGGCTGGCACCCGGCATGCTAGCCTCAGAGCATCCGGACACACCCGTGTCTGTCGTTGAAAACATTTTTAAAAAAGACGCGAGACGAGACGACGAAAGTGAAAAATGTAGACAGTGGGAAAACCATGCAAGACTGGATGGACAATTGATGCAGGGTACTTTGTGTCGGGCGGCCGCTTGTGCCACATAACACACATATGCTCAATTACGTTCTTAGTTTAGTTTCGGTTTTGAAAGGCGACCGAAATTGGTGTTTTGGCGCAGGCTTGGCACAGATTACCCATATTTTGGCAAAATGTAGCAGGGTTAGCCCCTTGGTGCAGTTTGGCACAATTGGCGCAGCAATCACATCACTGAGTGCAGCATACACTTGATATTAAAAAACCTTTTTTGTTGCTCGTGGTACAAATAATGGGTAAGGTAATGCCGAATCAACCCGTGTCTGGCAAATTATTTAATGTTTGGCTGTCTGAAGTCAAAACAAGCCTCACTAAAATTTCCTTGCCAGTGCAAAAGAGGACGACAAAGTTCAGTGTTAGAAACGATGAGAAACAAGTAAGCAGTACAAGGCAGGTGGCACACCGGCAGCATGGTTGGCCAGCATGTAAGAACTGTGCATAAAACCCTCTTCATAAAATGAAAATCGTGTACGTAGGCTCCAGTGGATGTTGGTATGCAACCAGCTTTTGCGTGCCATCAATTCCCGGCCGATCGAGTCAAGACACTCTAGTAGGATTTCAAAGACGTTGCCATGTTGACAATTACCGCGTCCCTTTAGGCTAGGGATAGAGCAGAATTCAGACTACCTAAAAATGGGGCAAGGTCATTGCTCATAACGGCAAAGCGAAAGTCTCCTGCACCATTCACTACTGACAAACATACCCCATAGTGCAGCGGGAGCAACATAGTAGTTCCAAAGCGTGCGGCGCTTGCTAGGAGGGGCACCTCCATGTTTCCCCGCCGTCCCTACCCTGCCGGTCACGTGACCTAAAACTCCCCCTCGTAGGGAAATGCGGTTAACTTTCTGCCGCGGTTAAAGTTGACCGGCTTCAAGCCAACAAGCCCTCTCGTTTATCCTCTGTAAAGTTCAAGTTCATTCTCGGTTGTTATCGTCTGTTCTGGGAAAAGGTCTTCCCGAAGGCAGCGCATAGAAAAGCAGTTGTTACGCTCTTCATAGGGTCGGTCCCTCTCTGCCATCACTGTCGCAGGATGTACTGTGGCCCTTTCATTTGGTTGTAGGCCCAAGTTTGCCTCATATTAAGCCCTGCATTTGTCTACCATTTTCCACACGTGACAATATTATTTCCCCGACTCATTTCCCTTGCTTCCCCGTGGGCGCAGCGATCCCGCTGTTCCTGTCGGTGGCCGTCTTCGGGGGCATGTGCTTCGAGCGGTCTTGGCTCCAGAACCCCATCTACAACCACCTGTCGTGGGCCTACGCCCTGGCTGTGGTGGCCTTTTTCTTTCACACCGTGGCTGCCATGATGCTGCTCGGCGAGACCCTCAAGGCCCGAGAGCGCCGGCGGCGGGCCAACAACCTCATCTACAACATGCAACCCAGGTCCTGACCCCCTCGCCCACACAGCCTCCACTTCCCCTCCCGTAACCTCCAGTGAAGCACACACATCCCTATCGACACTCGCGAAGCGACCCTGAGAGCACGGATTTCAGGTGTCGAAATGGGTGCTTCTGAGGACTTCGAAGGGCGACTCTAGGACGCTTCTCAAACTCTGCGTTGCCGTGGAACCCCCAACTATCTTGGGGGTCATTTGCAGACCCCTGTTGGATAAGTTTATGAGGAGTGCAAGTTTGTCTGCTTCTTGCACAGGGGTGGTGATAATGCCAGAACTCCGAGTTGAAGGTCAATCTGGTTGAACATATATCACGGAGGAATACTAAAAGTTCCTGGGAACAAGCACTAGGGGAAAGACAAACGGTGCACTGTTTGTCGGTTTGTCCTTGTTCCCTGGCACTTCTAGCATTCTAGCCTCCCCTTATATTGTAAATCACATTTATTGTATTCGGCATCGCATGGACGAGGCCAGACAGAGCAGTCTCGCTATCAGGAGCGAGAATGGCAACACTTCTGTGGGCGCACTTTCCCCAAGAAAGCCCGTGGTAGAAAGGCACTCGCAACTAAAAACACCCAAAAGCACGCAGCAGCTCGTGAAAACTCTATTCTCGCTGTAAAGACATTTGGTCCAATGATTTCAACCCTTTTTGGTGCTTCACCTGTCCTCATGGACTGATCCCTGAATGAATGCAAACCCCTGGGGGCCTGCGGACCACAGTTTGAGAACCGGTGCTCTAGACGCCCTCACTGAAGATGTAGTTGACTGCCTCTGTTGTACTACTTCATTTATAGCCCATTTAGTAGACGGCACACAAAACATGGACAAACACCAGAAGAGAGAGTAAGCCACAGCATTGTGGTATGTTAGTCTTCACATCTCTAGCCATGTTTTATGCGCCGTTAGTTCCACTATAGAGTTCACCAACTAGCCCTAACGTCAACACTAGCGTGCTACTTTGGTCACCGCTAACCCAACAGTGGAATGGGAACTACACACTGGGTGGTCATGTGACTGGGTCATGTGACTGAACTTCTTGCGTGATAAGCGTGAACTGCACAGTCACGTCCGACGCCGGCGACTGATTGGTTGAGCAGGTTTTGCAGCTCCTGCACGTTGACGGGTGAGCTGAATATGCACGGGCAAACCTCAACAGCAGTTAAAAAGACGCATGCTCGTGTGGAGAGCTTTTAAGACTGACAAGAAAACAGCGCACCCTCAAACCAACTCGCCCGAACCTCCGTTTTAACAGCTTTTAAGAGCATAAGTTGTGCAAGTGCATGCAGAACTTAGTCTTTGGTGATAAATGCACGGTCTCCTCATATGTCCCACTGACATGCTTTAGAATACTACTTTCTTCATAGCGAGACTGTCAAGTTAAAGTGCACCTGAAGCTCCAAACTTGTTTAGTTCTTGGCAGATTCATTTAAAAATAGGGTGTACAAAGTTAAGCTTGCTTCAAGTAGGAAATGTGCAGCTATCAGAGGAGGAAGTGAGTATGATAATAGAGTCAACCCTATTCTTATAATGTTCAAAGATTTGTACACTTTATTATATTTTTTTCTTTATAACCAAGAAAAGTGAGATGAGAATGTGCATATCTTTTGGTTGTGTTCCTTTAAAACTTGCCAAGAAGCTCTCTTCTACAAATTGTTATCCACAAAGTTTTTCTGTCCTGCTTTATAACTTTCTAAGTTCTCCCAAGTTTTCGATACACGAATAGTGTGCCTCGCACAAAGCAGAAAAGAGTTGACGAAGGGAGAGACTGGAGATGCTGCATTTACTTGACTAATGCTTACTGAAATTCATACAGCACTTTCAATATACTTCAGTATAGCAACCGGATGTTCCTGTTATGCATGCAAAGTGAAATTTCTCTGTTCAAGACTGACATACATTACATAAAACGAGATTTTTATAGCCCAGACGTAAGAGTCAGCACACTAGACTGCCACTGCAAGTTGCCCCACTGCCATTTTTGTATGTGTGCTTCAGGACTGTCATCATTGATCAAACTTCTTTAAAAGTGTTCCAAAACATTTGTCGTGCAGCTTTTGTAAACTTTTATACAAACTTCTAGCACTGTTTTTTTTTTATTTATGCATTTATTTAGCACAATACAAAGCGTTCTGTTGGTATGAGCACCAGTCTTGTCATGAAATGTGCAATGTATGCCAGAAGTGTCCATGTGCCATGTGGTGTCCCTCACCCCTTAATGCACACAACTTGCTGAGCCTCTTTGCTACTGCGATCTTTCCTTTACATACAATCCATTGGTGAATCCAAGTCGTGCAGCATATCAGCCGATGTATTCATATTAGCACAGTCATATGCCATGTATTCATATTAGCATCACAGAGTCAAGTGCTGCACCCTCCAATGAAGGCTGTTTCCGAAATTCCGATGATGTTAAACCCCCTTCCTTATGGCGCCACTACTCTCAACACTGCTAAGCTTTAAAGATGTTGAATTGACACAACTTTTTGCTTTATTTTGCTTTCTTCCCTTTGCTGCCATGCTTCTCTAATCCTGCTGCTTGAGACTCCAACAAGTCTACAAAAACAATGTGTCTCTTTCAAATGTCCTCCCTCCAGCATGAGCTCACTGCCTTCCATGGTGCTTTAACATCACGTGATCCTCTGACGCACACCGGCAACTGAAGCACCGTCGAAAGCATGGGAGCTTGCACTGGAGGTAGACCAACCGAGAAAGATGCCCTGCAGTTCTAGGCTTTGCAATGACTACAGCATGAACACATCTTGCAATGCTAATAAAAACAAAACCTGATGCTTCTTGCTACCCATGCTTTCCACTAACCTTCTGCATCTATTTCTCTCTTCCTCCTCTCCTTTTTCCTCCTTTCCCTCCAATGCAGACCTGGGACGAGCGGAAACACAACTCCCTCTTTACTTGGGGCCGAACCCAAACGGCCGCTGCCTCCAGAGTAGCCATCTGCCCGTCACATGTTTGCCAGTTTGACAGCTTCTTGAACAAACACCATTGTCACACAACTGAAGCTGTCTAACCTTGCAGGTGCCTACATTTTCACGAGACAAATCGGCAGCCCAGCTCCGAACGATATTGCAAAGGTCAAGGTCTCAGCCTTCAGCAGATACATTCATAGAATATTGGATGTTCATGTACACGTGTAAATAGTTTAGACAACAACATCAGCCGCATTAAGTTCCATCTGAAATCTTACCATCCAATGACCTAATGGGAGGGACGAGAAAGGATTCTTTCCCAGAAACATAGTATAGTCCTGTAACGACTGTTTCTATAGAATGTGTCGGGATGGATGGTGTATCTGCGAGCCCTTTGGGTCAATTCTATCATGATTGTTGTAAAGAACATCAATGCAACTCGGTGTCAGAGTATCAACTGTTTGTAAGATTAGCAAGTGATGCAGTCTTGCCACTAGGTCTAACAAGCCTAACAAAGGAAGAGATAAGAATACAATTGAGGGACACAGCCGCAGAGTGGAAATGTAATTACGCAAAGGAAGCCACTTCTTTATGCAAGTGAACATCAGGCCGAACTGGCAGTGGATAGATAGCACACACTTTGAAAGGGGTGAGAGAGAGTTGCCACGATAACTGACCCCCGGTTTTTTTCTCTCTTTGTCTTTGTCAAGGCTGATGAGCGGTACGACAGAACCGGCGGCGCGCCTTTACCTCTTTCCCGCCGACGGGACGTCCGTCTGAGTCCGGGGTCAAAAGCGCGATTTCGCATCAGGGGCCCACACCCTCCCCCCTCACAGACCCGTGAGTTCAAACAGTCTTCCTCACAGCACGCACTCCGTCACTAACCCTGACTAATGCTTGAAAGCCCCGCCTTGACCAATAACCCGTCTCTGGTTAACCGCGGCTGCGAAAGCTTCGTTGCCTACTGCGTGGGTTCTGAGGGGTTCCTCAAGCGACAAAATTTTTTCGGTTTATCCCCAAGTAAATTGTCCTCCCAGTGTAAGCGCTTTTCTAGAAGATATGCCCTATCGATGCATAGTTACGCGAAAAACATTCCCTAGTGTGTGAGTTACTCTTTACGAGTTCTGTAGGCTTCAGCGGCGCTTTACAACATTGATGCTGAGACAAAGAGGGGTTTCTCTTCTGCCATTCAAGAGGCGTACCTTGGGACAGAAAAGTTTGACAACCTGTGGTTTACAGTCGTGAAGATTTATTAGTCACCAAGGGTGTCGAGGCAAAGCCGAGAAACCGTTGATAGCCAGTCTTCACTGACACGCCTAACAAGCACAGTGGAGTCGTAACCGCTGCCTTAATCTACCAACAGATTCTAATTTTGTTGAAACATAGAAAACCTTTGCCATCACCTATGCACAGGCTTCTCAAACTCACAGCAGTGCTTGGCTTTCGAGAAAAAGTGTGACACGTGCTTCGAGAGCGGCCAACACAAACTCCGAGCGCTCGATCCCACGCACAACTAACCTAGCCTTGATCTACGGGCATAACCTTGACTGTCGAAAGCTCGGGGAGCCGAACGCCTTTGTTCGTTCGCAGAGTTCCGACGGTCTGACAAGAGACTACGCAGCGGCACCGGCCTCCCCAGAAGTGCTCCTGCCAATCACCCGCATTTTCACGTGAAGCACACACATTGTAGTACTAGTGCAGCAGCTGGCCTGCATACCACAAGCTCTAGTCTACCGCGGCCAACGGTGCCCACAGCCATGCCTGTCCATTTTTGCAGCTAGGGGCCTTTTTACAGGTCAGCGTTTATATCGATCTGCGATCTGCACGCCTTCTGCGCCTAAACTCTTTCCAGAAACCGTGAGGAAAGTCGATCGTTCCCTCAAATTAAAACAAGCGAGATTTGTGGCCTTAGAGACTGCGCAGATAAAACAGCTTTTCCCCCGGTTTATCTTCCAGACTGTCCAGCTTTTGTAATGAAACTTGTGTGAGAGTGTGTGAAATGCCTGTGTGAATTTGTCACCATTTTAAAAGCTTGCCTGGACATGGACACTTGTGTTTCTGAGGAAGCAATATGGTATAGACTGACAAACTGTTTTGCTACCAGTTTTGTACTACTTTTTTCAACCTACCCTGTGACAGCGTTTGCACCGCACCGAAGCTATGTACTGAAGTCAGCTACTTGTTGCTGGAAATGTATTCATTTTTTTACATGGAGGAAAAATAATAAAAATCTCTTTTTCTACATATTGCTGTCAGCTGCATCACCGTCAATTCTGTAGCGAGATACCAATAATAAGTAATCACACATAGTGACAAAATGACAGTTTACACAATAAATGGCACAGCGAGTCAACAGTTAATTGTGTCATCATGCAACTTTTGGTGTGATAGAAACAAAAACTATGAACTGGTCGAACAACTTATGTTGCCCACTTTATGCGTGAAAAGGCAAGCCTGAGGCCAAGTGTGTTGTGGAATGCGAAGTTGAAAGTACCTGTATCTCGTGCTTGGACTACTGGTAGTTGCCAGAGTGAACAAAAGCGCAAGCGATTCGCTTTTGTTTGCAAAAGCGAATCGTTTGCAAAGCACAGGGTGTTACAGCACGAATTTATTCACTGTAACACCTTGTTCTTATAGAAATATTCATACATCTGTCTTGGCCATTTCTACTATAGACAGAATGAATTGCAGCAGGGTGTCTAATTTAGATGCCCGTCCACCACCCGCTCATTGCCCTCTGCCGCACTGGAGGCAAGGGAGCTGAGACACTTCGCATTGCCAGCCCAAATCGCAGAGTAATTAATTTAGCTCTAAAAGTGTGTGCTCCAAAGATTTTTCTAGATCCAGCTACAGCAGGGAACAGTACCCACTGTACAAGTCACTGCAGATGAGACTGTCTATGTGTAGCCATTTGCTTACTAAGCATTGTATGTTGTGCATAAATGGGGTCATTGCGCATGACCCTTTCGTATTAGGTATGGCTAAATTCTAGTTATCGCCTACCCAGTGGTTTGGAAAACTTGTACTTCTCTTGTACATTCTCTGAGCGTGTACTTGTACCTGGAGTATTTTTTCTGGTACTTTCCAAGGAAATAACAACTCCTGACTTCAAAGTATATTCTCCGAATTCGGTCTTGTTAAATTTGTATCACGAAATGATGCTTTGTCAACTCCGAAGAAATACTTGGAGGGATATTCTACTCTCACCAGAAACAGGAGAAGACGACACATCGCTCAATTTGTTCTGGGGGCGGCTTCCGGTAGCTTTGCAAACTTTCACTACTTCTGGTTCAGTGAACAGAAGCGAGGAGGTTGAAAATATTGGGAGAGGAAAATTAATCGTAATGAAACACCTGACTGCGCTGCGGAAAAATGAAAGAACTTTCAAGTCTAAGAAAAACACAGTGAGACATTCTCTGTTGCATTTTTCTTTGGCTTGAAAAGAATCTTAATTTTTGCACACCATAGCCTCAGGTGTCAAATTATGATTATCACCAGCTCGCCTGGGCACTCATTGTTTTTTTTCGTTAAGGAGAGGACGCTCCTCTACGAGAGGATTGCTTGTGGATGCTATAGAGCTGACGTCGTGCTCTCTCCTAGAACGTTTAACATTTTTGGGTGCAACAAGCCAGTACAAGCAGCACCAAATTCAGAAGTCAGACTTCTGAATTTGGCACCATTTCTGAAGATAACTATTCTGTGGCCACTTTACTTTATCCAATATTTGTCACCTTTTCGGAAAGTGATGCACCCCGATTTCCCCTGGTGCAATGCATGCCAGTAAAAAGATCACTGTAAATGGTAATAAAAGGGCATCATGAAAGATTGAGTTAAAATGTACTTGTACTTTAAAAGTGCATAATATTTATAGTACTATACTTCACATACATTGTACCTGGTGTACTTACTACTTTACTTAAAGTACATCACCTCCCATTTACTTTGTACTTCAGGTACTTTTTAGGTGTACTTTACCCAACACTGCGCCTATTTTAAATGACACATACTGCTGTGGAGTTTATGCTGCAAAATTAGCAGAAACAGATGTAGTGCTTTTGTCTCAGTTCCAGCAATTACTACTCAAAGCACCACATGTAAATTGGCAGTGCGATTTGCATGTGGTGCTCTGTTCCCCTACTTCGACACATACCACCTTTTCACTTGTGGTGACAATGTATCACCAACATAAACCATAGAACGAGTTTTTTCTTATTCCCATTCATTTTGTAGGTCACTAGGACAACTTCCTTTATTAATCTCATGCAAATTATCAAGTATGAACCACTTATCATGCCGAATACAAGCGAGACTTTGAGAAATCACATCTACAAAGAAAAACTTACGCAGCGTTCTAAACCTACATTTTTTTGTTCCCTTTTCGACGTCCGTAGTCTTTTTGCTGCTATCGAGATGCAATGTTTGGAAACTCTAGCTACAGATTATGAACTGATTGGCCATCTCTGACAGCTAAGCTACAGGTCGGTGAGTATAGTGCTTGAAAGGGACTAGGCAAGCCATGTTTGGAACAGCTCGATTCATTTCAAACGCCCGGCCTCTGGCTCGTGCTCCATGCCTTCCGTCGTGCTTCGGCTGCACATGTGAGGTGTATGAGGCGTTGAAGCGTTGTCGAAAGTAGGGAGCTCACACTGGAGGCGGGACTAACTTGAGCTCCTCCCCGCTATTCTCACCTCGTCGGTCACAACAGAGCAGGGGTCTCACTCGAATGGGGGCTATCTGGCCTCCACATTCAAGTGTGGGTGCCAGATAGCCCACTCCCGAAAGGACGAGGGTCAATAAAAGGGGGGGGGGAGGCAATACTTTGCTATTGTGGGACAAAAAAATATACAAACAGCATTGGTGTTTCACGTTGCAAATCGGCTGACTGTCCCAGCAACATTCCAGATTTTCTAGGCAGGGAACCTTGGGCTTTCTGCAAGTTCATTGTTTTGCCCTCTTAAGCTTTTATTGGCACATACGACTACTGTGGGCCCACGCCTGTTGTTATAAAAAATGAAAGCCGTTTACAACTCCCTGTAATGCCGGATTAGAGCACAGCTCTTGAGGAGGGGGATGGAAGGGTACTGAGAAATAGGATGGTAGGGTACTGAGGGATAGATGACTCCCTGAGGTCACGTGACCTCAGGGGGGGGGGAGGTCCTGTGACCTCGGGGGGGTTAACCCTCATGACCCTCGTGAGGGTAACCCTCGCTACCCTAGTAACCCTCGCGAAGGTAACTCTCATAACCCTCGTGACCCTCGTGAGAGTAATCCTTGTAACCCTCGTGAGGGTTACGAGGGTTGTTACCCTCGTAACCCTAAGAGCTGCGCTCTAAGAAGATTTAAAGCACCACCATACCACAGTACCGGCAGTTTTCAATAGAACGGGATCAAGCACACCATCCTTGCCCTGTCGCACAATTCACTAGGCTCAACAGGCGTAGAAAAAATATCCTTTCATGCGGCAGTTTTTGCTTTTCTGACAATTTTTTACAGCAGCATTATAAAATATTTTTATTTTAAAGGTATTGTCTGACAGCTAGAAGCCCAAGCTCGTAGCTTTATCTTCGGCCATTGCTTCAGCTGTGTATGACTTCGTGCAGCCAAGGTGCCTCTTTGAGCAAAGAGCTCGCACTCATACACCCAGTAGGGGTATTGCCATTCCGGTTGACTTAGAGGAGAAAGTGAGAAGCAAATATTTAGACGAAGTAATACTTGGTCCAAAATAAACAGAATTGAGCGAAATGCATGAACAAAGCAGAGCTTCTTTTCGAGCGGAAATGAATCGACAATATAAAGCTATTATTTATGGTGCATGAGGCGCTCGAGGCATGGAAAAGGCGGCTCGCAGCCGCGGGACGCTTGCGGGCCGCATCCCAGAAAGTTGCAGGCCATGTGTTTGAGACCCCTGCTATAGAGAGTGGAAGCACAGTGCGGGACGGCTCACCGGGGATCTTCCCGTCGTGGCACATTCCCAGGGTGTAGCTGATTGTGTCGACGGAGAGGTTTCCGTCCAAGATGACCATTGGGGCACTCAGGATGTGGCGCTCATTTCTCTGGATCTGGTCGAGACAGAACAAGGAGTCGGCTGAGGCATTCTGAAACCGGACGGTCTCGGCCATGCACACTCAAAACTCCTCAGTGCTTCTTCGGGACAAAACAAAATCAGTTTCACATGAGCCGGTTTAGTTCATGCCAAACCTTTAACTGTCTATAAGAGATAAGCCTGGCTAGCCCACCACCGTATAGGTAATTTCAGCAGTACGCGTGGAATTGGTGCTGTAACTGTCTGCTGCTGACCTGCCCAACAGAAAGTGCAGGAGGCCACTTTGAGACCCCCAACTTCCGAAACAGACCGTCAACATATAGCCACAGTAACGCATGATTGAAAATGCAAAGAGTAGCATTATAAAACTATGTGTGTTGTGAATGACACTGCTCACAAGCCATTAGGGCATAAACAACTGTCACCTGTTGCCAACAGGCAAATCACTACTGTGGCGGTACTAACAGGATGGGGAGAAAGGACAGTGAGTACAGCTCGTGGCTCATCCAAGTTTGCACTTCTCAAGGAGCTCTGAGCGCGAGCTGGAGCTCGTAACTTTTGTGAGGTATCCAAAGAAATGTGGAGGACTTTTTAAGGTAGAGGAAAGTTTAAGCATAGAAGCGGAAGCCTGCTGGTTCGTTACAGAGCAGAAGTAATGTGCGACTCAATCTTATTTATATTCGAAAGTTCTTCTGAAATGGACATGTTTCCAAAGCAAACAATAATATGAGCTCAGGTTCATTGCCGCTTTCGATAGCATTGTTATATCATACAGAAACGGTCTGAATAAGGAAGGGATGTCATAGTGGTGTACAAAAATGCAAAAATAACACAGAAGTGCAATCTTGGCATCAGTTCAGCCCACGCTTCTAAGAAAAGAAGTGCATTTAAAACATGCCAGCTCGTTCAGTTAAAATTCCAATCTGACCTGACCAATACGACAACCTCACTTTAATAATAAATAGAATATACACCAACCAAATCCTTGTATAAAGGAAAACCCTACGTTTCGAGACCAGCTCGGTCTCTTCTTCAGGGGTTGACTGCGGCTATGGCCGTTGAGGAGCAGTAATCTGTTTTCTTCTTCTTCTACGGCAGTGTCTATCGTTTTGCATCGGTGAGGTGGCGAAGTCCGTTCACGTAGCCGGTCGGCAGAGTGCCGAGGGATCTATTTATGTTTTCTGGCGTTGTTTGTATGTGCCAAGATTCAATAAAAAGTCTATGTCTGGGATTGGTCTCAACAGCCAGGATGCTGGTGTTGGCAAAGTCAATTTTGTGGTCCCTGACGTCGCAGTGCTCAGCTACGGCGCTTCGTTCATGGTCGAACTTCCGAACATCGTTCATATGCTGGCGGATTCTCTCCCGAAAGTTCTTCGTTTCCCCGATGTATGTGACCGGGCAGTCCGCGCATGGAATTTTATAAACGACGCCTTGTGCTTTTTCCTTAGGCGGGCGATCCTTTGGATGGGGCATGAGTCTTCCAAGCGTAGACATAGGCTTGTGGGCCACCTGGATCCCTTCTTTGGCCAGTACACGTGCCAGCGCCTCGCTTGTACCTTTCATGTAAGGAACGCTGATGCGTGAGATACGACGGGTCTGTGTACTTGCTGGGAGTTGCAGGTGTCGGCGATCTCGGGCTTGATCACACGCAATGCGGCGGATGAAGCTGCTTGTATAACCGTTATGTTGTAGGTCGGCGAAGATGGTGTTTTCCTCTTTTTTACGGTCAGCCTCGGATGAGCAGATATTTTTTGACCTAGATAAGAGTGTTCTGACCACTGATGCCTTGTGACAGGCTGGGTGATTGGAATGGAAATGGAGATAGCGTCCAGTATGTGTCGGTTTTCTGTAGACAGAAAACTGGAGCTCTTCATTTTGTCTTCTGACGAGCACATCGAGGAAAGGTAACGTACAGTCCTTTTCATGCTCCACGGTGAATTGTATAGACGTTTCGATGGAGTTGAGGTGGGTAAGGAACGTGTCCACTTCCGACGTTTTTAGGATGCAAAAGCAATCGTCTACGTACCTCAAGAACACTTTGGGGGCCGTGTGAAATGACTGTAGCGCCTCTTCTTCGATGGCTTCCATACATAGGTTCGCTGTTGTGACGGAAATGGAGGCACCCATTGCGGTTCCACTGGACTGTTTGAAGAATTCTCCTTTGAAACTAAAATAGGTGCTTTTAAGGCAAAACTCAAGCAGGCGGCAGAGTTCCTCCACGCTAAGTTTTGTCCTTTCGCTAAGAGATTGGTCTTTTTCAAGGGCGTTCTTGGCCGTGGCGACAGCCAGGGGAACCGGGATGCTTGTGAACAGCGCGATGACGTCGAAGGAAACTAGACTTTCTTCGGTGGTCACCTTCAACGTCGAAATCTGTTCCACGAAGTCGCTGGAATTTCGTATATGGGTCGTCGTTCTGCCCACGAGAGGTGAAAGAGTCTGGTGAAGGTAGTTTGACAGACCTCGAAGTGGTGATGTCGTGAAGTCCACGATGGGCCGGAGAGGGATGCTAGGTTTATGTATCTTTGGAAGGCCGTAGAAACCCGGTGCATATCCATTTCTACACAGAAGTCGCAGGTGAAGGCTTCTCGAGTTTGGATGATTTTTGAAAATATCCGTTAGCATCTTATTCATCCTGTCCTGAACTTGTGGTGTAGGGTCCTTTTTCAGCTTTTCATAAGCTGGGGTATCAAGAAGATCCAGAACCTTTTGTTCGTAGACTACTCGGTCAAGGACGACGGTTGAGTTACCTTTATCTGCTGGAAGAATAACAATCTCGTCATCCTCCCGAAGCGTCCGGAGTGCACTTGACTCTTCTCTGAGTAAGTTGTACCGGTGATGTTGAGGTATTTTTGACAGGATGCCAATCACCTTTTGTCGGACCCGTTCACGGGTGCCAGGATTCAAGTGAGCGATTCCGTCCTCAAGGGTTGCAACCATTTTCGGTAGGGGTGGCCTCGTTGTTGTCATATTGAAACCGTGACCTTTGGCTAAGGCAGCGATCTCACAAGGAGAGAGTTGTCGAGACGATAGGTTTGTGACGAACCTGGCGGAATCGGTGATGTGTTTTGCCTGTTCTTTTTCTTTCAGCCTCAAGAATTTCTTGCTCTGAGACACTCGTTGCTTTTCCGCAGAAGTTGAAGCAACGCTGTCGGCGAAGGACTGTAAATGAGGGAGCAGAGATGGAATACGGTGTTCTAGTTGTCGGCGAGTAAAAAATAGGTCCAATTTCTTTTTCTTTAAAGTGGTATGGCATTCGTGAATCCGAGCTTTAACTAAACGGTGTTCAGCTTGCTCGACGATCTTTTGTCCCTCTGGTGTATGAAATTGGACCTATTTTTTACTCGCCGACAACTAGAACACCGTATTCCATCTCTGCTCCCTCATTTACAGTCCTTCGCCGACAGCGTTGCTTCAACTTCTGCGGAAAAGCAACGAGTGTCTCAGAGCAAGAAATTCTTGAGGCTGAAAGAAAAAGAACAGGCAAAACACATCACCGATTCCGCCAGGTTCGTCACAAACCTATCGTCTCGACAACTCTCTCCTTGTGAGATCGCTGCCTTAGCCAAAGGTCACGGTTTCAATATGACAACAACGAGGCCACCCCTACCGAAAATGGTTGCAACCCTTGAGGACGGAATCGCTCACTTGAATCCTGGCACCCGTGAACGGGTCCGACAAAAGGTGATTGGCATCCTGTCAAAAATACCTCAACATCACCGGTACAACTTACTCAGAGAAGAGTCAAGTGCACTCCGGACGCTTCGGGAGGATGACGAGATTGTTATTCTTCCAGCAGATAAAGGTAACTCAACCGTCGTCCTTGACCGAGTAGTCTACGAACAAAAGGTTCTGGATCTTCTTGATACCCCAGCTTATGAAAAGCTGAAAAAGGACCCTACACCACAAGTTCAGGACAGGATGAATAAGATGCTAACGGATATTTTCAAAAATCATCCAAACTCGAGAAGCCTTCACCTGCGACTTCTGTGTAGAAATGGATATGCACCGGGTTTCTACGGCCTTCCAAAGATACATAAACCTAGCATCCCTCTCCGGCCCATCGTGGACTTCACGACATCACCACTTCGAGGTCTGTCAAACTACCTTCACCAGACTCTTTCACCTCTCGTGGGCAGAACGACGACCCATATACGAAATTCCAGCGACTTCGTGGAACAGATTTCGACGTTGAAGGTGACCACCGAAGAAAGTCTAGTTTCCTTCGACGTCATCGCGCTGTTCACAAGCATCCCGGTTCCCCTGGCTGTCGCCACGGCCAAGAACGCCCTTGAAAAAGACCAATTCCTGAGCGAAAGGACAAAACTTAGCGTGGAGGAACTCTGCCGCCTGCTTGAGTTTTGCCTTAAAAGCACCTATTTTAGTTTCAAAGGAGAATTCTTCAAACAGTCCAGTGGAACCGCAATGGGTGCCTCCATTTCCGTCACAACAGCGAACCTATGTATGGAAGCCATCGAAGAAGAGGCGCTACAGTCATTTCACACGGCCCCCAAAGTGTTCTTGAGGTACGTAGACGATTGCTTTTGCATCCTAAAAACGTCGGAAGTGGACACGTTCCTTACCCACCTCAACTCCATCGAAACGTCTATACAATTCACCGTGGAGCATGAAAAGGACTGTACGTTACCTTTCCTCGATGTGCTCGTCAGAAGACAAAATGAAGAGCTCCAGTTTTCTGTCTACAGAAAACCGACACATACTGGACGCTATCTCCATTTCCATTCCAATCACCCAGCCTGTCACAAGGCATCAGTGGTCAGAACACTCTTATCTAGGTCAAAAAATATCTGCTCATCCGAGGCTGACCGTAAAAAAGAGGAAAACACCATCTTCGCCGACCTACAACATAACGGTTATACAAGCAGCTTCATCCGCCGCATTGCGTGTGATCAAGCCCGAGATCGCCGACACCTGCAACTCCCAGCAAGTACACAGACCCGTCGTATCTCACGCATCAGCGTTCCTTACATGAAAGGTACAAGCGAGGCGCTGGCACGTGTACTGGCCAAAGAAGGGATCCAGGTGGCCCACAAGCCTATGTCTACGCTTGGAAGACTCATGCCCCATCCAAAGGATCGCCCGCCTAAGGAAAAAGCACAAGGCGTCGTTTATAAAATTCCATGCGCGGACTGCCCGGTCACATACATCGGGGAAACGAAGAACTTTCGGGAGAGAATCCGCCAGCATATGAACGATGTTCGGAAGTTCGACCATGAACGAAGCGCCGTAGCTGAGCACTGCGACGTCAGGGACCACAAAATTGACTTTGCCAACACCAGCATCCTGGCTGTTGAGACCAATCCCAGACATAGACTTTTTATTGAATCTTGGCACATACAAACAACGCCAGAAAACATAAATAGATCCCTCGGCACTCTGCCGACCGGCTACGTGAACGGACTTCGCCACCTCACCGATGCAAAACGATAGACACTGCCGTAGAAGAAGAAGAAAACAGATTACTGCTCCTCAACGGCCATAGCCGCAGTCAACCCCTGAAGAAGAGACCGAGCTGGTCTCGAAACGTAGGGTTTTCCTTTATACAAGGATTTGGTTGGTGTATATTCTATTTATTATTATTGTTGCTCCCCAACCAGAGAGACTTCTCTCAAATGTTCACCTTCAAGACAACCTCACTTTGTATGCGAACTGGTGTGTGCCTGTCGAAAGAGTATTTTCCAACGTATCTGTAATAAAAGGATGTTCTCGTGCTTAATTGGGTGAGAGACTAGACCCAATTAAATTTCTTATCTATGCAAGTTGTGCAGAATAACAGCCCATAAAATTAACCCGTTCCATTAAACACGGACAATCAAATCAGCAAAAAGAGAGGACAGCGCATACCTGCTTTACGTCAATTTCTTCATGGATCGCCATGTCGCCGACCCCAAATACGCAGTCGCCATTTTGGTCCAGCACCGTACAGTAAGTAGCCGTGGCAGCGTGCCGAGTTCGTTCGACGCCGCTCATATCCTACAAAAGTCCGAAGAGAAAACCTCATTCACACTGACCGAAGAAATAATATTTCATGCGGCAAACATGAGTCAAAACCACCATGTAAGAAACAACCAAAGCCACAATTCTGTGAGGCCCAGGTGAGTGCTTCACATAAATTAACCACAAGGAGATAAGGTGCAGAAGCAGAAAACATGACTTGGTCACAGATCCCAAAATCTCTCTGCTTGGCATTAAAATTCAAGATAGCATGATGATGACATCTGCTAATGTTGATTTTTGTCATCTAGTAAACAAATACTGTAAAAATATCTCATTGAACTTCCCTAGATCCCTAACCAAGAATAGTCATTTGTAATGCCACCATTATTCTAGGAAATTGCCAAGAATAACGTTTCTATACTTGTAGCATGTCATGCCTTTTTCTGGCTCTATCATTGGGGTTAAAGGTAAAAGCACACTGTTTTACATTCAAATGAAACTCATCGATGTGAAACCAAGAAAATTTTATGTTAATTCCAAACTACTACTTGGAGCATTGTCAGATGATACAGCAGCTTTCTAAACTACATATTTAAGTTCAGGTTATTGAATTCTTTCCTGGGCATATGTCTGGAAGATGGCAGAGCCAAAATGTCATGAAGCCTGATGAGGCCCTTGGCCCCTACAATGTTCTTGGTGCAGTTCAGACAACAATCAAACAAGCAAAAACAACAACAGAAGATTGTAAAAGGTAGTTTTTAAACTTTTTTGAACTAACCCTGTCTGTTTGAGCAGTTCTGTAGTATCCATTCTAGTTACACCATATTTAGGGTTTTGGGCTGACAAGTGGAGAGATATGCAGCTACCCAGCAAATGGATTTCATGTTAAGGTCATACATAGGTTATAGAAGCTGACCAGGTCAAATAATATAAACAATCAATTTTCGGTACTTTACAGTCCGTTTGCTGGTGCTGTGTACTACCGTTCACTTGTTCACATATTTGGCACATCAAGTCTATTCCCAGCAGTAACACCAATACAGAATGGACACCAATAAATCATTCCATTTTCATAATGGCATAAATTCTGTGTATACATGCCAATTAATTATGCCAACTCCAGCCAGAAGGAACATTGAAAACCCGAAACCATATAGTCAAACTAAAGTTTTCACAAACCATTAACAGCAAAAGTGACTGCAGCAACATACTACTTTTGGGTGGTTCAGGAAGGCAGTGCCAGAAACCTCCAACAGAGCCATGCACCTCATTCTGACGTTCCTCCTCAAACTCATCTGTACTTTATGCCATGTGATCTCCATTTATATACTGTCCAAATAAATAACATGCAGTTAGCTGCTGGTAGGAAGGACGCTAAATCCGAAGACCTAAACCAAGGTCTTTCAGTGAAATGTTGGCTGGTACCCTGATGCCTCCCAGGAGTTTCCTTTTACGTTTCTCCAGTGTGGTGTACTAGCATGTAGTGTCACAATCGGGGCATAAAGGACCGCGGTTCACAGAGAAAAAAGTGCAGCTGGTGGCTCCATGATGAACCCGACTGAAGCACACGACAGATTCAGAATTATAAATGCCATGCAAGTATTCTGCAGCAAAACTCTCAGTGCACGGAGCTTTCTGCAGTAACGATCCCATCCTGGTAACCTCGACAGGGCCCCTGATAACCAAGAAGCACTATCAAACACGCGGCGCGCGTGCTTAGTCGTAGATGGTGCTTTGGCCACTTTGGCTCCGAAATCATGCTCTCTCACTGACGTTGGCAATGGAAACCAGCAGCGAGACGTTTGACCTTACGTATTCAATAACTTTTATTTTATTTTTTTTGCATTTGGTTTTTGTGGCTTACCTTTTGCTGTACTTTGTGAGTTATGTGCTGGAAAGCCAGACGCGAGTCGAGCGCGCGAAGCCCAGAGGCCCAACTTGCTCGCAGGCACAGGGGAAAAGTTAACTTCACTCTCGTTTCCCTCAGAGCCGGTTTACAACACCGGCGAAGTTGGGAGTCTGTTGACAACATTTACACCAAACAACCGGCGATAAACTCACTGGCGAAGTTGGGAATCTGTTGACAATATTCACACAAAACAAACCCGGCAATAAACGCGAAAGAAAAAAACAATTGGTTTGGATTGGATGGATGGTAATGGCTATACCCCTTGTAACGGGCGGCAGCTTGCGCCACCTAGCCTAACATTTCTTCATTCCTTCTATTTTAAAATTTGAATAAAATTTAACACCCCCCCCTCCCTTTTTTAAAGCATTTCCATTGCTTATTTTTATCTGTATTATTACCCCGCCCCCCCCCCCCCCCCCCTAGATCTTTTTCACCAATCTTCCAATTACCTTTTAGTTACCACAACTCTTTCCCTATCCATCCGTTCATCCATGTCTGCAAATCCCAGTGCCCCCTTTTAATCCGTACTCATCCCCCCAAAGAGGGTGGGACGAAGCCCCGTGGACCTTAAAACTACATGTTCTATAGTTCCCCTTTTGTGGTTGCATATGATTGAATTGGATCAGTGATCTCTATGATAACTCCACAAATGTCTGCTTTTGTGACCCTATAATTTAGCGGACACTAGAGTTGTGATCAGTGAATTCCGTAGTTCAAGCGCACTGATTGACCGTAATGAATTGTTTCATCGTTCGCGAAAAACAAAATGGGGCTTACAAAACGTATTATGTCGTCTACTTCCGCGCGCTGCAGGTCTGCTAGAGATGACACTGTCGTCATTCGCAACTATTTCCAATGGCTTTCGGAGGAATTTCCAGCACTAGCCTTTATCGTATTTGCTCATACTACGTAGGGTCTTCGAACAGGACTGCGCGAATAGTTAGAAACATTTATCCACTCACCAGCTCTGGCCACTTAGTGACCAAAGCTGGTGAGTGGATAAATTTTTATTTATCCACTGGGCGCCAACTGTCGATGTGTGCGGGCACCAGGGCGCACATATGAATTTTTATATATCTTCCAAAGAGCTCGGGGGAAAAAAAAAAGGGGGGGGGGGGGGGGGGGCAGCATCGCCGGGGGGAATGTGTGTTCTATCAAAATTCAGTTGCAAGTTACGCCCTGTCCTTTGTGCCTCTCTTCTCTGTCCTTGTTTTCTTTTTTCTTTTTTGCCTATTTTCTATTAATTATTGGACAAAGAAGTGGCGTGACAATTTTGGCGCCAAGGTTTAGCGAATACATGACTGCATGACGAATCTTGCTCGCATTTTCTCTCTCTCTCTTGCGAGGTTTCTCTCACTATAAAGTTGAGACAAAAAAAAAAAAAAAAGTAAATGTTGAAAGCAACGATTCGATGAAGACGAGACCGCGACTGCACTGTCAGAGGAGTCCTTCCATACTCTATTTAACCTTACGAATTACCGTGGCATATCGCGTGTCTATGCTTCCCTGACTCCTAGCGTCCTCCGCGGTTCATCATAAGGTGTACGTTAAACAGACAGGGAGGTGCGTTGATAGAAAGTTTTAGGGAACCGTTTTTGCAAATACGATAAGGAACGATGGCCCCTCCGGTACGCACTGCGCGTGTGCGAGCCTTATGCGGTAGCGTATGAGCAGCTCGTCGTACCGTATCGAACGTGCGAAACCGGTTCCCTAAAACTCTCTGTACTCCGTGTCACTAGTTGTGTGCAGTTCAGGCGAAGGCAACGCCATGCGAAGGGAGAAAGGGTGAACACTATAGGAAGGCGGGACAGGAGAGGAGGGCAAGGGAGGGCGAGGGGAGAAAGGGAGAGCACTAGGAACGTTAGAGAGGAGAAGGGGTTGCTCTCTCCTCTTCTCCAGCCTTTCTAGAGATTGCTCTTACTCCCCTCGCCTGGAGTTGCCTTCGCCTGTACTGCACGCAACTAGTGATACGGAGTATAGTGTTCGGGCGAGGGAACACTATCTTTCCTTGCGCTTCTCCCCGTGTGGCCACCTTGCGGTCCAGTGTGATAACTATTTCCCGATTAGTGCCAATTTCTCTAAAGATGTTGGAAAATTATCTTAGAGACATGAATGCAGACTTAGAAGACTCCGACGGATACACATCTGTGCGCATTCGTGATGCGATTGGACGTTTGCAGTCAGTTTTCTTAATTATTTATATTTGATTCGTATTCGAATATTTTGATATTCGCACACCCCTACAAAAAAAAAATGCCAATAAAGCATGCACACTGCAGGGTTCCACGTAAGTAAACTTGCACTGACATTTACCTTGATGCCCGTGTCCCACTAGAGCGACAGACAGAGACAAAAGACAGCGACAAGCCTCAAACCCATGCAGCATGCTCCCGATGGTACCCTTGACAGGCGTTTAGTCGTTCGGCGCTCGTGAAGTAAGCACGAGCGATTGCAAGTCTGCCACAGATACCCTCGCGTGCATGATGCTCGTGTTTGAGCATAGCCTCCTTTATTCTACAAAGCCTCTCAAATCGCGAAAAACTCTGCTCTGAGGCTTATCGTTGTCTTTTGTTTCTGTATGTCGCTCTAGTGGGATACGGGCATAAGCGTTTCCAGGGCTAGCGTTCAAGAAAAATGCGTCGCAAAAATAAAGTGGGAGAGAAACAATTCGCACTCAACCATTGATTGCTGTGTAATATCTAGCAGATTTTATAACAGATTAGGGCACATGGAAATAGACGAGGAAGGCACGAAAAGCTTAAGAAGTGATCGCAAGCGACTTGAAATAAAGTTTGGTGCACGCAGGAGAATTAGAGTTACAAATTCTTGAACTAGAAAAACGATGCCTAAATACAAGTATCAGAACGAATTGAGACTAGTATCCATAAAACCAGAGAGAATGGACATGTGACGATCTAGTAAACACTTTTAAATGAGAGTTAGAGAAGTGCAAAGTCAAACAAAGGGGAAGAAGGAGAAAGAAACACACCAAAAAGATGGTGGGACAGTGAAGTTAGGGCGGCGATGGAAGGGCGACAAGAGGCCTCAAGGGAACAGAGATGGGCGAAGAAAAGGGGGTACACACCCGCTGAGGTAGCATCGAAATGGAATACGTTTCAGGAAAGGA